TGGCTGGCGCCTTAGCCGGTTGAGCTATAGGCGCCGAGCCCTTTCCACCTATTTTCGTCTCTTGTTTCCATCTCCCCCTCTCTATTCTTTGTCACTCACCAACCCTGACAGCCTTTCTGAGCCCTGTGTCTGTTCAGTGCTCTGGTTGACTCCTGCCTTGTGGCAGGAGGTTACCAAGCAGAGAGGAGCAGCTACCCTCCCATCCCCGACCTTGGCCTCACTGTCTCCTGTTCTTTGCCCAGAGTGATCAGGGCGAGTACCGGACAGAAGACGGGCTGGTGAAGGGACATGCATATTCAGTCACAGGCACACACAAGGTGAGTATCCCCCATGGGAGGGCTGGCAGGGGATGTCCAGGCACCACCCCCACTGACTATGCTGCTCTCAGGTGTTCCTGGGCTTCACCAAAGTGCGGCTGCTGCGGCTGCGGAACCCATGGGGCCGTGTGGAGTGGACTGGAGCCTGGAGCGACAGGTGGGATGGGTCTGGGGCAGGTGTGGGGCTCAGCCCCACCTGCCTATGCCTGACACCTTAATCTCTTCAGCTGCCCACGCTGGGGTACACTTCCTGCGGAGTGGCGAGATGCTCTGCTGGTGAAGAAGGAGGATGGCGAGTTCTGGTCAGTTCATCAGGGTCCCAGCTCTGCCTCTGGGAAGGGACATCAGGCCAAAGGCCTTATGAGGGAAGTTCATGGGTTTGGGCCCTAATAGAGAGAAACTGTGCATATCAGTGGTCATTTGGGGATCAGGTTCTATTTGGAGAAGTCAAGGAGGAACTCATACTAACATTAGAGGAATCTGGAACATAGTAATAGTCATGGGTGAAAGGGACAGCTAGTACTTAGGGCGATAGAGGGAGGCTTGATGATATTTGGGGCATTTCTTGAGATTTGGCAATATTAAGGGCTAAAAGACACTTGTTGATGATAATTGAGAGTCTGAGGGAGAACAAAGGGAGTCAGGGGGCAGAGGGGAGGTGGCCATTGCCCTGAATCCCTATCTCCTTTTCTTTCCTCCTACTGGAAAGGTTGAAGCTAATTTGATGCTATTTGGGGAATAGCTTATGAATCTTGGCAGTTTGTGGGGAATTTCTGAGGACTGGAAGGCTCAGCCATTTGGGGGTCATTTTTAGAGACCGGAGCATACTTGACAATATTTATAGAATTTGCAGAGTTTTGTAATGTGGGAGTCATTTCTGGAATCTTGAGCTATTAGGGTCTGGGGCCCTGGTGCAGCAGGGCTGGGTAGTGTCTGACATGGCCACTGTCCAGGATGGAGCTGCAGGATTTCCTCCGCCACTTCGACACGGTGCAGATCTGCTCGCTGAGCCCGGAGGTGCTAGGGCCCAGCCCAGCTGGAGGTGGATGGCACATGCACACCTTCCAGGGCCGCTGGGTGCGAGGCTTCAACTCTGGCGGGAGCCAGCCTAGTGCTGGTGAGGTCTGAGGGAGATCCTGAGATTCAAACTGGGGGGTGCTGTGACAGGCCGGGGACCCCCTTCTTGCTCTCTCCTTTGTTAGAAACCTTCTGGACCAACCCCCAGTTCCGGCTGACGCTGCAGGAGCCTGATGAGGAGGATGAGGATGAGGAAGGGCCCTGGGGGGGCTGGGGGGCAGCAGGGGCTCGGGGCCCAGCACACGGGGGCCGCTGGCCCAAGTGCACTGTCCTCTTGTCGCTTATCCAGCGCAACCGGCGGCGCCTGAGGGCCAAGGGCCTCACATACCTCACCGTGGGCTTCCACGTGTTCCAGGTTCGGTCTTGGGTGGGACAGGCTGCAGGGGCGGGGGCAAGGGGGCAATCGGGCTGGGCCAAGGTTGGAGGTCCGAGGTCCGAAGAGGGTCCAGAGGAGTGAAGAGGGAGCTAAGGGAATCAGAGGGAAAGGCTAGGGTGGGACAGAGCCTGGGGGTCAGAAGCGCCTGGGGTGACTAAGGAGAAAAGAAGGTCTGAGGGCACAGATGAGGGAGAGAAGGGTTGGGGAGGAATCAGCAAGGGCGTGGGTTGGGGACTGGAGAAAGGTTCAGTAAAGGTCCAGTAGGAGGAAAGAAGAGGAGACAGGGATTCAGGGCATAATGGCCACCTCCTCCCTGCCCTCCTGACTCCCTTTGTTCTCCCTTCTTATAGATTCCAGAGGAGGTGAGCCTCGGCTGGGCCCCACACCCGCTCCCTGACAGCCCCTGGGGCTGGCTTCTCTACGCTGGGAGGACGTGGCGGGTTTAGACTGGCGGTCTAAAGAGCAGAAGGGTGAGCTTGACAGGGCTGTGGTCTCCCCGCCTTGTCCAAGTTGCTGGGCCTCTGGGACTCCCCGCGCAGCCGCGCACTCCTGCCCCGGCTGCTGCGCGCTGATCGTTCACCCTTCTGCGCCCGCCGCGACGTGAGCCGCCGCTGCCGCCTGAGCCCGGGCCACTACCTGGTGGTGCCCAGCGCCGCCCGCGCCGGTGACGAGGCCGACTTCACGCTGCGCATCTTCTCTGAGCGTCACCACACGGCAGTGTAAGCCGATACCCGTCCCGGGGATCCCCAGACAGACCTGCGGGGGGCGCCCCACAGGCCTACTTCCCTGACCCGCCTGGACCTCCCCCGCGCCCCGTCCGGCCGTCCTAATCCGCCCGCGAGACCTCTAGCCCTGCAGGGATGAGCCCAGGTCCCCACTGTCCCCGCCTAGACCAGCCGCAGCCCCAGCGAACAGCACCCTCCCCACCTCCGTCTGTCACTTGCAGGGAGATCGACGACGTGATCAGCGCCGACCTGCGGGCGCTTGAGGTGGGGGATACCCCGGGAAGGGTGCGATGGTGGGGGGAGGACTGGTCGCCTGAACTGAACGCCACCCCCACCCCCAATGCCATAGGGCCCCTACACGCCTCTGGAGCTGGGCTTGGAGCTGCTGTTTCTGGAGCTTGCTGGCGAGGTGAGGAGGGGCCTGGCCTTCTTTTCTGGAAAGCTCCCAGATCTCTGCCTCAGGGCCTTTGCTCAGACCCTTCACACCCTCAAGTGCCTCCTCTAGAGGTGCTCCCTGCCCTGGCAGCTGGGCAGCCTTTCTCTGCCAGCCCAGGGCTTCTGCAGTCACAGCTCTGGCTGCTCACTCTGGGGACAGGTCTGTTTCTCCCAGTGGAGAGAGGGAGGGTAGGCTGAGAGTACCTCTCAGCTCTGAGAGGGTAGGCTAGCTCAGTCTCTGCTGTGTTCTCTGCTGGGTCCAGCACAAGACCTGGCCCACAGCAGTTGTTGAGTAAATGGCCTCACAAGTGGCTCTTTCCTGACTAGGGGGAAGAGCTCCAGGCCTCACAGCTCCAGGCCTTACTAAGCATTGCCCTGGAGCCGGGTGAGTTTGTTGGGAGAAACAGGAAGGCTCTTGGCCAAGGGTCCTGCAATCACAACCAGGTCCCCCAATACGTGTGTGTTGTGGTTTGTGTGAGTCTTGTCCTTCCTTCCTTCCTTTCTCTCTCTCTCTCTTTCCTTTCT